TTTATGAGTAATAATATTCATTACCATTAATGTTAAATACCAGTTTAGATGACAATTATATGATATTAAATAATAAATTCATTTAAATATAAAGTCACATGACTCATTTAATTGAGTCTATCATTTAATACCATGTAATTGCCACATAGATTGGGGCTCAACCCTAGTGGGGATGAATAGCATTATTCGTTCGTGTAAGCCCCTTTTTGGTTTACATTATTTCAAAATGCATTCATTTAAATGAAAAATCACATGACTCATTTAACTAAGCATGTAAAGTGCAGACACCTATACTAGTGTTCTAACACAACTAGTGCTTGATAATATTATTCATATTTTATAGATGTCAATAAATAGAATATATAATATAATTTGGATATTTTAAGTATTGGAGTATCGAAACTTGCAATTGAATTAAATGCAATAGAATATAAATAAAGAAAGCATTTGACTCTTCACATATAAAGAGCCAAAACCACTCTCCATTCTTAAATAGTAATACTATTTAGAGTGTGTTTGGTAAGGATTTTTGGGGGAAGAATTGATTTTTGAATAGTGATATGATGGGAAATGTGTAGTTGAAAAAGAAGAAAAAAGTATTGATGTGATGGAAAATATTATTTTATTGAAAAATGTGTGGTTGAAAATGAGAATTGATTTGATGTAGAAAATGAGAATCTGTACCAAACAGGCCCTTAGTATCATCAGTACTAAAAATCAGTTTAGATTTGCACAAGTATTATTAATTGATAAATCATCTTAAAAATAGGAAAACGAATCACATTTTAAGATGCCATATCATTTTCTTGCTACCTTACCGGTGTTATGGTACTAGTAATGATATATAATATTATTCATTTTAAAATTAAAATAAAAAGTCTATTTGGACTTAATTTCAAGTTTTGATTCTTTAAAATGAAGAGCGTGTTACTTTTAAACAATATCTTGGAGATTTTCTATTTATTTAGAAAGAGCATGTTGGATTTGCTCAACACTTTCGTAGCCATTGATGAATCCATTTACAATATTAGCAGTCTAGATACAATTGAAGCCCAAACCCGATTGTCTCCCTCATTTGTGCATTCTCGCGTTTCTGAAATGCGACTTTAAGTTCGTTTTAGATCAATGGCTGAGATGATGTCATGTGGTTGATTGGTGGCCCTTGGATGAAACTTAATTGTCAAATCACTATATTTTGGATACTTCGATTGGCTTGGCCGTTCAGATAATTTTTCTAGGGTTTTATCTTTGGTCTCTTTTTTCTTCTCTTTGAAATTTTTTTTTTTGGGTTTCATCTATAAAACTTCATTCTCTTAGACAATCTTGGTGAGATCTGTTATGGAGTATTTGTACTGGTTACTAATCTATTCTTTGGTGAGCAGTAACCACTGGTTATTTGTTATATTCGTTTTGAAAGATATCTTGAGAGAAAACAGTGGTCTGGGGGAAAAATCTGTTGAATCTCTAAGTGTTGATTCTTGTACTATTATCTTTTGTGATTTCTAGTGGATCTAGAGCGATAATCACTTTGTGGATGCTCAATGTGGTGAGTAGACCGTTTGGCTGAACATCATGGCCTTATGATGAAAAATTTTTGTTCCTTAATTTTCTATCGATTTACTTTGTGTTCTTGAGACAAATTTACCAACAGAGTATCTTATGTAATAATAGAGATATTTTTAAATTTAGAGATTAATCTTTTTTTTACAATCCAATAGTTCTCTTTATTTTTCTATTTCAATATACATTATTGTTTTCTCCTAATGCTTTGATTAATATATTTTTGTCAATGGCCAATAAGTTCAAATATGATTTTCATTAGAATTGTGATAAACGCACAATCTTTATAATTATTTCTTCTTTGTAATAAATTCTTCATTAATTATTTTGTCAACTTTTTAGTTATAATGAATGTACATTTGACACATTCATTACTTTACTTTTCGTTTTTCAATACGTATTTAATTTATTTAACTATATTTGACAGATTCATTACCTTTTTATTTTTCAATATGTAATCATTTGAACAATATTATAATTATTTTGTCAATTATTTAGTTAGATCAATGTATATTTGACAATTCAATCTACTTAATTGGATAGTAAATTAAATTGAATAAAAAATATTTTTGAACAAAAGATAAATATTCTTAGATTTTTCTTCCAATTGATTTATTCAATAAGTGTTAATGCACGAGAAGGTAAATGGGAAGGGAAGGACATAATGCGTATCTATAATAATTAATTTTAATTGATATATTTAATGCTAATTAAGCGAATATGAAGAAATAATGATATTTGTTGAATGTTCTGTTCAAATCAAAAGGGTAAATGAAGGACCATTCTAATTAACTTCCTTAACTATTTAAATTGTTTTCACAAACTGATTTTTATTTCGTTTGAATCAAAAGTCCATTCCACAAACAATTTGTATTAATTACTTTTTTATATTTTCACATATTACAATATTATTTTTATAACACTTATAAAACATTACAAAATAACGTGCAATGCACGTTCAACTATGACTAGTTAATCAAAAAGAAGTCAATTGTATTAGCCGGTGGTAACTTAGAACAAGTAGTGAGACTGTTGTAGTCCCTACAAAGCTTTCATTTACGCACATGCTACCTATAACAACAATTGGTAAAATAATTCAAATATAACTGTTGACATATCAAAATGAGGTCCAATTAAATGATCCAAATAATGAAATCCAGTTAGTAAATTCGAAAGATGGACCCAAACCCAAGTCCATGGAGGCCTATTATCGCCCAAACCTATGAGACGCGCAGACGCCTAAGATCTGGGCAAGCCTGTCATCGCTCAAGCCTGTGTGACGTTCAAAATCTTGGCGAATATAATGTTTTGGTTACTATTCGAAACAACGGTTATTAAAGCAGTTAATAGGTAATCTTATCACATTCCACGATTCAAGAATCTCGGTTGCAAGAAGTTAAGAGATGGAGTAATGGCAGCGGTTGAAAACGATAGTTTCATGACAAATCATTCACGATGGAGAAAGTGGGTAGTTACAGGACGATGGGTAGTTTTCAGAAGTTTTCGAACGGTTTTACAAGAGGTTTGTCAAAGGAGTATAAAAGAGAAAGAAAAATCTACAAGAGAAAAAAAAAAGATTAAACCAACTCTCAAATAGAGAACTATGTAATTTCATTTCTTAATTAACTTTCAATTATTTTCTTCTAGTATTCGTGTGCTTGCACCCATTGGAGGCATTTTGTTTCATCCATATTGTAATCTTCATCAATAAAACACTCATCGTTGGGACTTTGTCTTGAGAGGTTGTTGTTCCTTACATAATCGTCTGATCCATCTTTTAATTGTTAGCGAGATTCGATTTTCGTGTGAAACAATAACACAAATTCAATTGATTCAATTCCTAAATTTATTGAAATTTGGATTGACACACAATTTTTCGATCTAACCGAATCGGCGGAAACAACACACACGCAACTTTCTCATATGATATGAATTTAACTCAAATCTAATTAAAATTGAAATGACACAACACAATATTTTCTCAAATTATGTGAATTTATTTGGAAAATTTAGACAGTAGAATCATTTTTTAGTTGAGTTATACAACTTTTTTTTATACCACTTTTTTTTTTTTTTTTTTTTTTNTAATAGCAAATCAATTTGTAGAATTAAATTTATGCCTCCATTTGACAAATTTATAAATGGAAGAAAAGCAAAAGTGAGCCTCACAAAATGTATGAATAATATTTATGAATGTGATTCAAATTAATTTGTAGTTGGATCTACAAATTATTAACTAATTTATATACGAATAGAGGCTATATTATTATCAAATAACGTTACAATAAACGTGAAAAAACACATTTATGAAAGGGGTTAAAAGACAAAAAATAATACCACGCAAACCAATCGACAAATCAGTTTTGCAAAATATTGAAAACGGGTTTTGTATAGTATTTCTAAAAATGCATTTTTGAAAGTAAGGTTAAACTTCTAACATAAAATTCAAAATACGTTTTTACGTTCTGAGTATTTTTAGTGAATATTTTGAAAATACTCAAAACATGAAAAAAGGACTTTTTAATTATAATTTTATTTAATAAAAAATACAAAATTTTTAAAAAATAAAATTTCAAGAAATTAATATTCAAAAAATAAATTTGAGAAATTTTAAATATTAAAAAAATAAAAACTTTGAAAAAATAAAATCTGATATGTTAAAACTAAAATTCTAAAAAATAAAATTTTAAAAAAAATAAAATTATAATTCTTTTTGAAAAAAATATATTATAAAAAATAAAATAGTTCAAGCTCTTAATGATTATTTACGTAAAATTCTGAAAAAGTATTTAAATTAACCAAAAAAAATATAATCAATCAACATCATCAATTTTTATTCTTATTTTCTATATTTTGAACTTAATTTTTTTATTTATTTTACTTTTGTATCGAGAAAAAATATTATATGATTTTCCAAATTTACAATGTCTATATTACATGGTAAAATATTAATATAAAATTATTTTATTTTTACTAAATAATCAAATTTTATGAAGTGAAATGTCACGAAACAATTTTTCAAAATTTTAAACCAAACGTATTTTATAATTTTCTATTTTAAAAAATAATTTTTTAAAATGATAAATCAAACACATTTTTAATAATTTTAAAATAAGCCCTCAAAACAATAAATTGAAAATTGAAATACAAACCAAAATCGCTCTTAATTTGTAACTCGTAATCGGAGGTCTGTAAACACGCTTTTATGCACGTGCCACCCCGTAATTAAATACGCGTCACTTGGTAGGATTGCGGTATTGTGTGCCACTGGGTCTGATGGCTAATACACTGTGCGACTATTGCTCACTCTGAATCTCTCAAGACGAAACTGTGTGTGCAGAAGAGAGAGAAAACACGCACTGAAGTGTATCTGCGTTTTATAGGAGTTCTGGGCTTTCCAGTTCCAGTCCATTTGGTACCAAAGGAGAAAAAACAGAGCAATGGGGGAGGTATCGCTTTTTTACTTACTTTGAACCAAATTTCCTCTCAGTTTTTTCTCATTTTTACGGGAAAGTAAGCATTTTATTTTTTGTATTGACACTAATGGAATTTTGATTTTTTCAGGAAGAGAAGAGGCCAGAGGAAACGAAGAAGGCTGAGGAGGAAAAGGTGGAGAAAAAAGAAGAACCCACCAAGGATGAGAAACCAACGGACGGAAAGAAAGAAGAAAACAAAAATGAGGAAGCCAAAGAGGCTGCACCGCCACCTCCGCCGCAAGAAATTATCTTAAGAGTCTACATGCATTGTGAAGGATGTGCCAAAAAAGTTCGCAGATGCCTCAAGGGCTTTGATGGTAATCAGATCCTTTTACTTTTTCTTAAATTCCTAATTTATTTTAAGAAAAACACCTCTCAGATAATTCAATAATAATTACTAGTGCTGTAATCTGATGTTAGCATAGAAATGTGTATTGGGATTCATTTGATGAGATTAGTTTATACTTTATCTTGTCTGTCAACCTATGGCAACCCTTCTCTTTTATCCAAATTTTGGAACGACTGACCAAGCTAAATTCGGTAAAATTTAAATGTACATAATTTTGCTTTTGTGGATTTTTTCTCTTCAGGAGTGGAGGATGTTATGACAGATTGTAGGACTAGTAGGGTGGTTGTGAAAGGTGAGAAGGCTGATTCAATTAAGGTTCTTGAGAGGGTTCAGAGGAAGAGCCACCGGCAAGTGGATCTTCTCTCTCCAATCCCGCCGCCACCACCGGCTGCTGAAGAGCCAAAGAAAACTGGAGAAAAGGAGGAGGTCAAAACTGAAGAGAAAATAGAGGAGGTTAATCTTTTCATTATTTTTCTACTAATTTCACCATTGATATTCAAATGTTTGCGTTAATTTGTTTAATTTTTTTTGGTTTCAGCCTCCTGTGATTACAGTTGTGTTAAGAGTGTACATGCATTGTGAGGCTTGTGCTCAAGAAATCAGAAAGCGAATTCAAAGAATGAAAGGTGAATTTTTTCTCTGTTTTCTTGAGGAAAAAATGGTATTTTTTAATGATCTTTTTGCTTTTTATAATTGTTGTGTTCTCTACAGAATATTTCATCTCTAAAACAGGAAACTATTGCAATCTGTACATTCCTTTGTTGGAATAAAATATTCAATTATTCTGAGGTCAATTTAAGCTCAATTTGTTAAGTATTGATGCAAAAATTAGTCAGAATCTGGACAACCAATGGTAATAGTTACAATAATTTTCTTTCATATGAACCTTAATGAATTGCATCTGCGATCTAACATGGTTGATCGTGCTTAAAATCTTCTTTTTAGCTGCTTATTTCGGATGTATGCATTGATAACCAAGGATTTGAACGTAGGAGTGGAAGGTGCAGAACCAGACCTAAAGAACTCAGAAGTAACAGTGAAAGGGGCATTTGAACCGGAGAGGCTCGTCGATTACCTGTACAAGAGGACCGGAAAACAGGCCGTGATCATGAAGGTCGAGCCGGCGAAGGCGGAGGAAGAAACGAAAGACAAAAAAGAAGAGAAGAAACCGACTGAGGAAGGCGAAAAGGGGGCCAACAAAGGCAAAGAAGGTGTCAAAGAAAACAATGACGATGACGGGGAAGGGGACGGCGGCGGCAGCAGCGGTGGAGGTGGTGAAGAACCACCAGCTAAACAAGAAGCAGAAGTTGAGGAACCTAAAATGGAGTTCAAAAAGAATGAGTTCTACCAAAACTACCCTCAGAACTATCAAGTTTATCCTCAAAGGATTGTTCAAGACATGTATTCATATCCTCCACAGATCTTCAGTGATGAGAATCCAAATGCATGTTCTGTTGTGTAAATGTTGGAGAAGATGAGAGTAAAATTGGGAATAACATGTCGTTGTGGGCACATGGGTAACTGTCCTATGGCCATTTCTCTCTAGACATCTTGTTGTGCTCTTCATGTGGCCCTGTCTTGGGTCTCACAGTATAGCCATGAATCTACAGAAGCTGCTATGGAATTTTGTGAAGCTTCTGTACCGTTTAAGTTTTGTTTATTGCAATATTTGTCACATACTATGAATAATAATAGAATACTAACATATGGATTATATTCTAAAGTTTTGTTGTCCTATGCTTTGGTATTCTAGTTTTCACCTCCTTTTCCCCTTACTTGGAGGTATTCGTTTTCGACGTGATGAATTTTTTCAGGACGAGAAAGGGAGAAAGGACGATTTTGTCGGTGGATTCGACGAACAATTCGACTTATAATCTAACTAAACTATTTTTTTCATAAAAAATAATTCGATTAACTTGAAAGTAAGTTTGACTTAACTTTTTAGTGTAACCAAATATGTTGACACTCAATTAGAGAGGTTTCAACTTTCAATCACTGAACTTGCTTATGTTCCCCTTGATCGAGTGCTATTTCTATAATATAAAAAAGATTGAATAGGAAATTTTTGAATTGGCTTCAAAATTTGAGTTTGCTCCTTCCCCAGACAGCTTCGTGGTTCCCATCGATCGATTAGAGAGGTTTCAATCACTGAACTTGCTTATTCTCCCCTTTTATCTATTGCTATTTCTATAATATAAAAAAGATTGAATAGGAAATTTTTGAATTGGCTTCAATCAAGAAAAAAAGAGGTAAAAAGTTCAATTTGCAATTATCAATTCACAAGAAATGCCATTCTTTCGTAAATATGTTCGTCGTTTGTTTCAACTTTACTCGTTCACGTGAATTTCATTCTCACTCTGAGCACACAATTTTCGTTTGAACTCCTCCTCGAACATGCAAATTTCATTTCAACTCTTTCTTGAACACACAGTAGTCATTCAAAAAGATTCTATAAATAATTTGTATTTTACAATATCTATTTTAATTTGTGAGATTTAATGGGGATTTTTTGGGCTCTCTATTATCCTTTTTTGAAAATAAATAAATAAACAAAAAGGTAATAAATTTCTTATGGTAAAAAAGATTCAAATTGAATTTTTTTTTAAGGGAATCTTATTGTACTTTGATTGAAAGATTTTCTGCTTTACTGACAGATTGGTGGCTCTTCTTTATTTCTACAATCATGCTGTCCACGTGACAATTTGTGATTCGCCAACTTGAAAAGAAATTATCTTCCTATCCAATCAATTTTTGACAACCATGCTAGCATGCTGCATAAATTCAATGTACAAATGATAAAATTCTTATTTCCGATGGCCAACATTTTCCAAGGGACGATAATCCATTTGTTTTTTTTTATAATGAATTTTAAATCATTTTTACCAAACATGTAAGTGTTTGTTTGATATATATTATTTTTTTTAAACTAGGGAAAAGTTGGGTTATGCTATATGTACATAATTTTTTTACATAATCTTTTACACACCACACACATTAAGAGGTGGGGACCACGAACCGCCATTTTTAAACACACGGGGCCCAACATAATTTTTTACATAATCTTTTACCCCTCTCTCACATTCGGAGGTGGGGACCACGAGCCGCCATTTATAAACTCACACGGGCCCCGCACACATTGTGAGGTGGGTACACCATTCGGTACCCCCATTCAGTACATCCGGCGTTTCCCGGAAAAGTTTTAGGCACATGAAAAAATATATATTTTTTTAACTGAAGTTGTTTAACTGCATTTTAGTCATGATTTGTCCATTTATCCGAACTTCAGTGGGAGTGAAAGTACATGCGAACGATTGTGTGTGTACACAGGAGATGTAATTGAATATGATTGTGACCATTATTTACATATCAATAATATGCGAAAAGCACGCTCGACTCCAAGTTTTTCAAGAATAGTAGTTTAAAATTAGATTATGAGCGGCCGACTTGAAAAACAAATGGTCCGTGTAGATATTGTCAAAGAAGGGATTCCTTTACAATGGCGTGAAATAGCAACTCCATGTAAGATTTAAGGTACATGATAATGCTATCCTTAAGAATTCACTCGTCCATTATAAAAATGTTACAAGAATGGGTTAGAATTACTTTTTTCACAGACTATTTTAATTAGTTAAACTCACACAATAATGTCACATAATTCATAAAGATAATGCTATGAAGCAATAACGGTGCTAAATATTTGTTTAGGTGGTAATTGAATGATACTATTTCATGTCACTTAAATGGACTCATATTTGTACAAGATATTTTGTTTGAATATCAATTAAAGGTTGAACCCCAACCTTGAGGGTATAGGTGTCAAGATGAACGGGTCGGTCAGACAGGTGAAAATCGGTCCGGATCGACCCAGGACCGAAGGCCGACCCGTGACCCGAGCGGACAGTTCACGGGTCAAGGAGGTGTGATTTGCGGATTTCGCGGGTTGCATCTTCACGAGCCGCGGTTAACCCGCTGGCCCGTGAAAAAAAATTTGAAAAAAAAGGGGGAGAGAGTCAACCTAGTTGGAATGCACTTAAACTATAAATTATAATAAAAGTAGGTGCCAACCTAGCTGGGATATACTTATATTATAAATATTTGATAATAGTAATTAGAAATGCATTTAGTTGTTATTTGTTTAAGTTAAATTTAACTTTGCAAAGTTATAAATAATTCATGTAACATTAAATTTGAATTCTATGTAAACATTTCTTTGTATAAAT